GTAGGCCTCAAAGACAACCGGTCAAACTTTACATTCCGAGCGTCGTCTCCAGTCAAGATGGACAAGCAAAGCAGTGGCCATCGCCCGGTTCATTTGCCTACTGAGCCCTCATACATTCGTCTTATGGATGGCTTGTCGCGCGACAATGGGATGGAGCTAGGTCTGAAAGACCCTCGCGAGCAGACGAGCACGGATCATCGTAACAATAGCAGGAATAGGCAAGTACTACCTGCTTATCGGCATGAGCACAACGCCGAACCAGTTGATTACCGGAGGCCTTTGGATCTTGGACCTCCGTTCATGCACCAGTCGCCACACAGATCTCCGGCCTCTGTCGATGCGCGTCAATACCCTTCTAGCGACCACCAGACTAACGAATACACAAACAGAGCTCACGGCATGCCGGATTTTAGCCCCACTACGCCAGCACCGAGGCGCCAACAAAATCCCGGCCATCAGATCGAGAGTGTGGTAAGTCCCTATTTCCGAACCGGTCATAACCAGGCCCGAGTCCATCCATCGCCCGGCCACGCTGAACTTCAGGATAGTTCCGATCATTCCGGCGATTGTCGGTCACGAAGGTCAAGGACGAACCAACCTCGGGCCGGCTGGGTTGAGGCTCGTAGTCTAAACGGCCTCTCATTCTTCGATTCACCCGTCGATTCTAGGAACGAGCCTATCAAGGTGGACCATCGCCGAAGATTGGTAGAGCCAGCACCAACGCCATACTCACATCAGCATCAAAGACGTCATCTTAATTCACGTGGCTTCATCATACGCCCGGAAGAGGGACGCTCACCGTATACCAGCGACAGTGCCTATGGCTCTTCCCAAAACCGAGAATTTTACAATAGAGACGCGCCCAATCATTCCCAAGCAGCGGTTGATGTACCGCCCGCATATCGCCCAAGTCGTTCCCGCATCGGTCAGGTGCCCTCTATCATGCCTTCCATTGTTCCGAGCCGTCCACCTGCCCGGGTCCAACCTCAATGGGAAAACCTGCAGCGAGCGGGCGTCAGGAGTAGCCGTAACGTTTTCAGTAGCGTTGCTGGGAACATTTATGCTGCGCCTTCGAGGAATGTCTTCCCCAGCGCTGGTCGGCGCAATGTTAGACGGTAAAGGCAACCTATGCGTTTCTTTCCCTATCATAACGAATTGGAGTACTTGGCTTTATGAATGGCCATTTCTGCATGGGGATTCGGCAGATGTATGACCGGGCAAAAAAATGATTAGATTCCCAGTTCTGCTATCAGCGAGTTTCATCTGTGAGCTACTCCTGCAAGAGAAAATTCTAGGTACGATCCGCGCCATCCTCGTCTATATGCTCAATTGTTAAACACCCCTTCATGACTACGATTGCAGCATGCAAAACGGAGATGCGCACCGCGTTCCGTAGACTGTTCGATGCGACGATCAAAAGCCATCGCAGTGAGCGGATTTGCTGTCACGCATCGCGTTCAATCAAGAGTTTGCCCCATGATGCTTAGCACGCCCACGCCTTCCCTCTCTCAACACGGAGTCTGTCAATTCAACTCACATGTGGGTAGACAGCCGGCAGATGGGAAGCTAAGACGAATGCGGTAAGGATTAAGGAGGTTTAATATGCGAGGACTATGCAACGAAGCTTCCTCGGCATGCAAGGGCCAACGCCGGTCTTCGATGACATTCATTGGCGGAGTATCATGCGCAACTTATCGTGTCACATAGGCACCTGATTACTTATTCTCCATGTTGCAGAACTTCGACAGTTGGCGCGATGGTTTCATCTTAGCGTTTTTCTTTGCCGACAGGCCGTTGTAACCTCCACACGAATCGTAACCCCTGCGTCCCCGCAAAGCCACCGCGCATGACCCACGATCCCGGTTATTGAAGCTTCCCTTAATATGGCCAAGCAATCTATCAGGCACCGCGGCTTCAAAGCTTCAGAACTATGATGCCACATCCATCACTTTCATATTGGCATCAGATGAAGGCCCACTCATTGCCATGGAAGAAACGGAAGGCAAAGCCCGTCCATTTGTGGGGCATTGAATCATTGGCATGCGAATTATTCGCGGTATAAGAGTAATGTTTGCCCAGCAGGTGAAACATAGGACTGTGCAAGTATTCTTCGCATCTCTACACCATGCTATTCAAGACTCTTTTGGCGGCGGCCGCTCTGGCCAGCACCGCTTTCGCGGCTCCTGCTGAGAAACGCCAAACCTCTCGCAAGATGAAGTGGTTCGGAATCAACGAGTCTGGTGCCGAATTTGGCGAGAAGAACTTCACAGGTGTCTACGGAAAAGAGTACACCTGGTACGATCTCAACACCATCGACAAGTTCATGGACGAGGGAATGAACATGTTCCGTTTGAACTTCCGTAAGTCATACCTCCGTAACCCACAACTCCTCAAATTCCCGACCTAACATTACCCAGTAATGGAGCGCCTAACACCCAACTCCCTAACCGGCGCCTTCGACCCGCTCTACCTCGGCAACCTCACCGAGCAAGTAAACCACATAACCTCCAAAGGCTCCTACGCCATGATACAACCTCACAACTATGGGCGCTTCTTGGGAAACATCATCACTGACACCTCCGCCTTCAAAACCTGGTGGACCAACGTGGCCGCCGAATACAAAGACAACGACCTCGTAGTCTTCGACACAAACAACGAATACCACGACATGGACCAACAGCTCGTCTTTGACCTAAACCAAGCCGCCATCGACGGCATCCGCGCAGCAGGCGCCACAAAACAATACATCACCCCCGAAGGCAACAGCTGGACCGGCGCATGGACATGGATCTCCTCCGGCAACGGTGCCAGCATGGTTAACTTGAAAGACCCCGAGAACAAACTCGTGTACCAAATGCATCAGTACCTCGATACCGATGGCTCTGGCACCTCAGCGACCTGCGTCAGCGCGACGATTTTCAAAGAGAGACTCCAGGCTGCGACCAAGTGGCTCAAGGATAATAAGAAGCAGGGTGTTATTGGCGAGTTTGCGGGTGGCAATAATGCGCAGTGTATCTCTGCGTTGCAAGATGGACTAAAGTACATGGGAGAGAACAGCGATGTTTGGCTGGGAGGGATCTGGTGGGCAGCAGGACCGTGGTGGGCCGATTACATCTATAACATGGAGCCTACGACGGGAGTTGCTTGGACGGGCATCTTGCCCAAGATTAAGAGTTACTTTTTGTAGATGGGGAGGGCTCGTGAGGTGGAAGGGTGGTTGTATATACTTTGCTCTTTTCTTCTTGTAGATATTCATATGAAGATGCCTTCATTCGCTACCGTCCCTGTTCACCTTGATGCACCTCGTCATGTATCCAATAATCTCCATCTAAGGCTTCCCCTGCCAAGCCCTGCTTAAATACTCCTCCGCACTCATAAACTTGTACTCCGGGAACCGCTGGTTAAACTCATCACTCACATCCCAAGCCCCCCTCCTAATTGCCTCAAAGAACATGATGACAAAGGCCTTGCTGAAGCTCTCCCTCACATCGTCCGTAACAGTAGGATGGCTGATCAGCGGCAACCAACTCGCTTTCAGCTCTCCCTTTGCTAGATCCTCGCTCTTGACATACTCGACGAGCCAGTCTCCGCCTCTGATCTTCTTGCCTAGAGCCAACAATTCGTTGATGGAGGTACGGCATCCCCTGATACCACCGATCTTCGGCCATGGGCGCGTGTCGTCTAGCGCGCGAGCGAGTATCTCACAGTCGTCTTGGATAGCGGTGATGACGATGGGTTGGTTTCCATCATCTAGAACCATGGCACGTCGGTTTTCGAAGTCGAGGAAGAAAGGCCAGGTGTAGAGATCCCGTTCTAACGGGTATGGATGGGCGAAATAGTCCATGAAGATGGACGGTTGGAAGAGACAGTACTGCATGTTTCCCAATTCACCCTTGGCGTCTAGGTCTTCGAGGTACTTCCGGATGTAGTCTTTGTTGTCGTAGCTGGGGACACCGGCGTTGTTTGCGATACCCCATTCGCTGGGCGCAAAGCGAGAGACGCCTGCGGCGATGGCGGCGTGGATTAGGTTCTTCTGGGCGACGTTGTCGGTGTCGAGGTGGACGACGAAGAAGGAGAGGAGGGTGTGGAAGCCCTGGAGAGCTGTGGTGAGGCCATTGAGGTCGGTGTAGTCGACTTGCTTGTAGGTGACTTTGGGGGATGGGTGGGATTTAGTTGGCGCAGATCGCGTGAAGATGGTGATTTCGTGCTTGCCAGAGGCTATTGTGGCTTTGAGCAAGTTGGTTGCGACGTCTTTGGACAGCGTCAGCAAGGTACGGTATGCTCATACTTCTAGCAATAGAGGAGTGTCATCTGGTGTCTCGATAGAGGCGGGGTAAGCATATGTAGAAGGGGAAGCATACTTCCGGTGCCGCCTGCGACTGCGATCTTGACCATGATTGCACGTGATATTATATCGCTCTCTTGATGTCGAAGGATTCAACTGTAAGCGCTACGGATTACATGCTCCCTGCTTTTGTATCTCCAACGGCCGCTATCTATCGCTCCGCTCTGAGCCCCCGCAATTTTTCGCTGCGAAGGCGTGTCTTCGGCGGATGACGGCATGGTTCTGACTCGTGTCACAAAACCTCAAGTTCTGGAGCTACGATCTCGGCTATCGCGATATCATTGATGTTTGAGTATTTCTTGTGATGCTCGACGGATACCGATTGCATGAGAAGTTGTGACTGGGCTGAGCGCTCTTTACCAATGTTGGTGCGATCTCATGCGAGCTGCCACCAGAGCGCGATGCTGCACGACCCAACGTATTGTGTTGCTTGGTAAACGTTGACTGTTGATCTTGGTTGACTTCAAAATGCACAGTGCGGCGAATCAAAACGCCTTTGTGAAAAACTGCGAGACGATAGATTGGCCCTCCAGGTTTGAGAATGAAAATGTAGATAAGTTTGGAAAAACGGGAGAAGTGACAAAGACCGTGAATGGTGAATAGATGGATATCCGTAAGTAAATGTCAAATAAATGGCAGCGAAACATCGAAATGCTCAAGCATCGATCAACGGTACCGCCGGTAAAGGTTTCTCAGGCAGCGGTTTACTCGGCAGCGGCTTCAATGCATCCTCATATGCTGGTGGTCTCGAGGAGCTGCCTTCATCCGGATCATCGCGGTACGCGCCGTGAGCATTTAGCAGTGCGCCCTCCTCCTCAGCCACCCTATCCCTCCTCATATTCTCCCAGACATCTTCCATGCCGTCCCACTTCATGAGCTCGCGCTGCGCAACGATCCACCAACACATCTTCCATAAGAGGAAGATGGTGAACAAGCCGCCAACGACACTGCTGAAGATGACCCAGAACAGGCCCCACCATTCCCAGTGAACGAATTCGCCGAACATGTCGCGAAGCGTTCCTTTCTTGCCGTAGTATCCCCATTCTTCTTTGCGGTAGAGGAAGCGACTCCCCTCTAGTTCCCAGACGTCGCTGCCAAGGAAGTGGCCTATTGTGCCCCAAATCGTCAAAGACTTCTTGAGGGGAAAGGTGTAGGCTCGAGCTACTAGGCGCATGTCGACGATTTGGTACTCGTAGATCTGGTCGTCCGCGGTAGATTGACCAAACGGGTCGGCGACTTTGGCTGGGCCTCCTTTGTCTCCTCTTCTCAGAGGTGTTCCTTTGACGCGCATCCACAGCATCTTCTGCTCCGGGTTGTTGAACTTCCAAAGAGGGTCGTCAGGGTACCGCGACTTCCCAATCACGTCCAGCGCAACGCTCCAGTATTCCGCATCCGCGTCATCGCCTTCCTGGTTATCGCTTGGATTCGTGATGTATAGGTAATCGATATACATTCGCGGGGCATGCGTCAAAGGTACTTCGTGGCACCATCGTCCTCTGTCACTCCAGCTTTCTCGACAATACGGGTCTTCGAAGTTCAGGCCCCAGTACAGTTCCGCATGGGAGAGGTTCTGGCGATATCGTGTAACGAGGAAGGTGGAGGGTGTGGGTATGGTCGGTAAGGGATATAGCGGGCGATCGTTGAGGAGGACTGTGCGATTATCGTGCGTGAGGGTTACGTTGAGAAGCTATAGCGCTCAGGCTGGTTAGCACCGCTCTTTAGGCACATGCTGGACTTGGGCTCGACACTTATACATACAAGCACATTATCACCAGTTATAACCTCGTGATCTTCAGGGTCCTCATAAGGGCAATCCTTGCATTCTATCTTCGCGATGTAGGACGATCCGGGTACCACGGCTGCGACCGGTGCAATGGGCGCCTCGCACCCTTCAGGCACTTTTTCTCTTCCATCTAGGTCGCAGTCGAGGACTCTGGGGATGTCTGCGGCATAGGCCGAAGACAGAAGGCCGGCCAGCAGCGCGATACCGGACAGCAGCATGGTGGGCTGGTGGTGGAATGATCGAGGGCAGGTGCCTGGCGCTCGTCGCTGCCGCCGCTGTCAGGGGCGTAGCGTGGCGGAGCCTTGCAGGGATGTCGCGCGATTAGCCGGCGATCATGAGGCACGAACGGTCGTTCCCCCGCCCAACTTCTCCCCTCTGCACATAGCGCGTTCGAAAATCCTGATGTTAATGCCGATACGATCATTGTGTCTTCCATGCCTGCGGTGATTAATAAATCTCGACGGTTTTCGTTGCCCAACCAGCATGATCTGTATCACCTCGAACGTGTCGACACAATCACACATGCTCTGTGTACCTTGCCAATGGTCTACAGACGACATGGTATCCGTAGAGCAATTATCGGCCTTTGAAAAGACGTTCATATCAATCAACACGATGATCTCAAAGAGCTATGTGCTTGCTACAAGCTCCATTGTCACAGCCGCGATCTCTTCATAGACCTGTAATACAGCAATCTGTCTTGACCTTTTAATTACTGACCCTCGCCTCTTCTCTTAGCTCTAATCATCATCAATATGGCGAAACTTACTATCCAGCGGCGATGGGGAGACTTCCTCATGACAAACGACGAAACCTTGACCATTTCGTTCAATAAAGCACCAATCAAGCCAAATCACAACATGAACGAAGTGATTCCTTGCGAGGAAGACGGGTTACCTTTGCACTTCTTACTCAGGGATCTAAGTGGGCAGAATCAAGACACAGGAACACAAAAGAACCTCTACCTGCATATGGGCCGTAAGTACTTCACTCATACAACCTCGAGAACCTAGCAGCTAAGTGGTTGTAGAGAAGGAGGCAATGTACATATGGCTTGACTCATTTACGCCGTACCTCATGCGTATCTACGTGGATGGCGTCAACGTGGTGACAGGTCGGACGACCCAAGAACAAGGCGAACAAGACTACTTCGTCCTGCCAGATCAAGAGTACGTGAATGGGTACAAGCCTAACCCTAGGGCACCATTGATGCAGTTCTGCTGCCCTCCTCTCGTCCAGGCCGATGCGACAAGGCGGGATTGTAGAACCATGCGGTTCGAGATTACACCTTACATCGACGTTGGATATTGGGCGCCTCGATTGACCGATTCTCATCATGAGCATGAACGAACCACCCTAGCATTGCCACACACAACTGTAAAGGACCTCAGGACTAGGTACGAGCTTCATTTCGAAGGCGCTCACCCAGTGTCAACCAGACTCGTGTATGACGGGAAGCAGCTTGAAGGTACGATTGGATTACACATGCAACGACGCCATCTAACTTAATCGCAGACGACAGCCTAGTGGCAGACCACCTCCTTGGTACCGTAAGTGCTACAAGACTGAACCAGCAGTACCACAAGCACACGCTAATTCTGATCTCAGGGTGATCTGGTAGAGGTGGCGGTCCCCGGCAAGCCCCGAAGGAAGCCTCGTTTACTCAAGCCCGATACTTACCCTGCATTCGGGTGGGAGCCAAGTCGCACAACCATCTTCAACGTTCACATGCTCAACTCCAAGGGTGCTTGTGAGTTATTCGCCAATTGCAGACCGGACAGCGTTGATGAAGAAGAGGAGCGGATGTATGGCGTCACTGGGACTGGTTTCAGTGGGTGTCTTGTCCAGTTCGACCCTGAGCCCGCATCAACCAAACCCTTGATGCCGTTCCGTACAGCAGCGCAACCTGTCCATCCGGAGAACCGTGATACCATCTCCTGATACCATAGGAAACACGGCAGGAGTACTGAAAAAACCACAGCAAACTTTGAAGACTGAGGGTTGGAGATTGACGGGGAGGTCTTTGTCTCCCATGTAAATACCTGCTGTGAGCTAGTGAAGTTGCATAAATCGAGTAAGCTATAATATACCCATATAGGGTGCAAAGCGCGTTTCGCGGTATCTTGTGCCCTCTTTTCCTCATCTCTTTTGCAGTCGCGGTCCGACCCGGCAGCGTTCGTCTGGTCAACGGTGTTGTCTCGCGTGAATCCGACGGCCTGAATACCTGGCAGCATCAAGATGGCTGAGCTAAAGGCGATCTTGCATGATGCGCAAAGTTCACGCAAAAAAACCAGTCAAATTGTGAAGCAAGCACGCACTCATTTCGTGTTGCGCGCTTACCTAGGTACGTGGCTGGGGCGCGTTGGACCCTATGACGTCACTCATGAGATCACAACGCGTAACACACGACCTCGGTCCATGAAGAAGTTTAACAACCCAACAACCTCACAACTCAAACACCTACACCAACAACTTCAAACTATCTCCCGTTACAAAATCATCAACTTATCAAACCATACAACTTGGACCACATACCCTACCCACCAACCACCGCCACCATGTCCAGTTCAACCTTCCAATCCTTCTCCACATCCTCATCCAGCACTACCATCAACGGCCAAACAACCTCAAAGTCTGAACACACCTTCACAGACCCCAGCGGTACCCGTGTCGAGCGTACACATCAAGCTCCAGGTGAAGCGCCGCGCGTTGAGCGATTCGAAACGGATGCTACGGGAAGACAGCTCGAGGACCACAGACATGCGGATGCGAAGCGGGTCCAGGATGTGACGGAAGAGGAGGACGCTAAGGTGAAGGAGAGGGAGTATGAGGAGAGGATGCAGGATGAGTATGCTAAGAGGGAGGGGGGTGCTTGAGTGAAAGGGATAAAGTGGACATAGTCGATTTTAGTACAGGTATATCATGTCAAATACACATATCACAGAATAGGTTTGCAGAATACAATGTGAGCGGGAAGACGCCACCGGCAAACGAGCAGGCATCGAGGAGACTCCATTCAACTATATACGCGGCCAGAGTGCGCCGACAAGACACCCAAGAGACTACAACCCCAGCCCACAGCCCACCCAGGCACTCACAGACCCAGAACCAGAGAGAAAAGGCCGGAGCCAAACCATGTCGTCGTCGTCATCATCGCTTTCGTCCTCGTCCTCATCCTCGTCCTCGTCCTCGTCGTCCTCACGACAGCTGCTCAGCGTAGTCGTGGAGAGCAACCGCATCGAGGGTGGCCATGAAGCGGTGCATCGGCCCGTGCGCCAGAGCCAACTCCTGCGGGGTGAAGGTCTGGTGACCATGCAGGGGCGGTGGCGGGGGCGGGGGCGGCTGCCACTGCTGCGGCGGCGGAGGCGGAGGCGGAGGCGGAGGCGGAGGGGGAGGAGGGGGAGGAGGTGGAGGGGGTGGAGGCGGAGAAGGGGGAGGCGAGGGAGGGCCTTCCTCTTCATCGGCCTCAGGCCCAACCTGCGGAAGATACCGCCACGTGCTCATGTTGTTGCCGGTGGTGGTTCCGGTCTTGGTGGTGGAGGATGGTGGGCGGTTGCCAATTGTTGGTGTTGATGTTGTTGTCGCTGTTGAGCGAGGAAAGAAGATGGTTGTGAAGAAAGATCAAATCTTTCTCACGGGGGCAGAAGAGTGTGGGTGCCAAAGAGCAGAAGAGGGATCCCAAAAGTCGCTTGTTTATATAGTCGGCGCCCCGAGGCCCCAGCTCCCGCGCCAAGACGAGAGCGACGGTGACCTGTACTCGACGACGACCCCGTATTGAGACCTAAGAAGGAGATACTATTGTTCAATGGCCATGTAGCAACCAGCTCAGGCAATTGCAAGCTTTTCCGGGGCGTGCAGCACCTCTATTGTCTGCGTGAAGTACTGTTGACCATTTGGGTGACCCACTAGCGCCGGGATGCTGCTGGGGTTGTGTGACTTCTATTGACCGCAAGGGTAGGTGGGGTATGATGAGAGACCACCGAAGGTCATTGGTATTGTTGACGTAGCATCCCAAGAACGTATACTGATCAGTCCTGTCCGGGATATCTTTCACTGACAGCAGTCTTACGAACCTCCGACGGCGACCTACTAGGACCACGTCCAATTCCAGACTCCCCAACCTACAGCCTACATCAAACCGAAGCCAACATAAGAAAGCCACGATGGGTAAGGGGCAAGGCGATAGGCGAGCAGGAGGGAGGCCAGGGGGATACGCGGTTCCTGACATACGTAGACGAAGGCGGCAGGAAAGGCGAGGACGCCTTGAGCAAGCATGGAGGTAGGGCAGCAGCGACAGGACGATGAGCCAAGGGGATACCATGAGCCCACTTAGGAGGCTCTTGAGACAATGACCAGCATGTATCTAGCATGTAGCAGCCGCAGGCAATCAGAGCGGTCAATCGCATGTCTTGAATGCTTGGTGCTTAATCTCCATGCTTGACCTTCGTGCTTGACATCGTATGAGACGATCCCTCATTTGTATAGCGCACGCTACCAAGGGCCGCGTTGCATACATTTTGACACTTTTTGAGGGTTGAACGCAGACATGCTATTCCGATAGGCGCTGTTTGGACGTGGCCAAATCGCTGAAGTCTTCTTCTAACCGCTCCGCATAAGGCCAATAGGCTTTGGAATGCAGGCCTTCTTTGGCTGTGCAAGGCGCGACTCCCAGCTGTGCTTGGATGCATGCTGGAATTTGACCTCCTCGTGCTCGATGGGTCTTCCGCTTTCCTATGCTTGACGCGTCTCCTCAGCTTCGATGAAGGGCGGGCTGCATCGTGGTGGGGCTGATATCGTGCTTCGTCTCGCTCCGCCGACCGCCGCCTCAGCTTCACCACACACACGACCACAACGCCATCATAGGAGTGCGGCTACTCGCCAAACCTTGACCGGAGCCTTGTCAAGCGCGAAAACCTCTACCGCAACTGTTTACTCGGAAGGCATCATGCCCCGCGACAGCAGGCTCGTTCAACATCTTTTCACGGCAACGACCCACGACATCGCGCCACGAGCCCCTCGACGCCCAGGCTGACGATAGAGGCTTCCTGCGAGCTCCTCCGACATAGGGCATCGTCGACGATAGGCAGAATCGCGCGACGTCTCTTCGAAGGCGAGGCTAGGATCCCCTCACCCCTGACGGAAAGCTCACTCACCCCAAGGCGAAGGCCGCCGACGAAACCGCAAGCTACTGCACGACCTTTACTGATGCTCGACAGACAAGCGGCTTTCTGACAGCCAGCAGTGACGATGCGGTACGACTACGGCCGGCTTGCGCACTCCTGTGGTGGCGGGCTCCTCCGCGGCGTTGAGAACGAGCTTGAAGACTTTTGCTGCCCCGAGACGGCGACTTGACACACCAGGTTTGAAGCCCATGCTGGAGATCCAAGAGCGACTGACAAAGGATACAGTGATCTAGAGCAAACCTTGGGCACGCCCTACGACCATTCCGAGTCCCCGCCCTCCTTGCGCACAACATCCCACGAAGCCGCAGAGCGCCTCCGCTCCGACCGATACCGCCGATGTGTCTTGATCGCAGACCAAACACAAGGCTTGGATGAGCTGCATACCGAATGCGAGAGCGGCAACGGGCCAGACAACAGCGAGATAGAAGAGGCAACCCTTCGATGAAAGGCAGCTCGACGAAACGGCGGCGAAGGCTCCAAACGCGACAGATACCGGCGATGAGCCACAGCGACATTCGAGCGGCATATCTGCTTCTCCCGCATGCACACTATAACCGGGGATTGCGATCAACGAATCGCGACCGGTTTGCTCGAATGGCGCGTGGCACACCATCGACAACGGACAGCCTCAAGCTTGAGACGCCCAGCAGCACACAACGAAGGCACGAGCCTCAGGACGTTGGGATACGAGAACGCGCACAAGACAGCGCGATTTGTCCCTCGTAAAGCTCACACGGCGAAACAAGGCGATCCTCTCTACCCATCCTCAGTGGCCAAGCATCGAACCGTCCGTGCTGAGAGCCTTGGGCAAGAGGCCAATGAGCCGCATAATCGACGCGACATCTGGAACGATGGACAGCGTCGGAACGTGTTCATCATAAGACGAGCCAGCCCAGACAGGCACGTTCGACGACAGGCATAGCGAAGCCGACCATACTCTCGTCGGGTGGTCAAGATCCGGCTTTCGGAGGCGATGTCTTGAGGCTGAATGTCCTCATGAGCTCGGAGCGGCGATGAGAATAGCATCCGGGTTGCGCATATCCATGGCTAAAATATGCCTGAGCATGCCGCTATGAGATGCGAGCAGAATGCGCAGCGTCGCGCGATTCGTAAGACGTCTTCCACGGCATTCGACGCCCTCACGACGGAATTCTGAAGACCATGGCGCACAGCTTTCCACGTTGCATGCCGCGACAGTATTATCCTAGCTATTTCTATCGCCAGCGAGATGAAAAGTGATATACCGGTATTACGGAACGAAGGAAGATGAGTTGACGAGCTTCTCGATGAAGTTTGCGAAGAAGGGGCGAAGACGTGCGGTCGGAAGTCCGGGAAGGATGACGCGCGGAAGCGAGTGTGGGTCGCCATCTTCCGGCCAGCCACCTTCGACGTGCAGCCGCAAACCATCCCTTGCCATCCTCACGGGCGATCTGGCATCTCCAGAATGCTTCGCCATTATCGCCATCGACAATGAGTAGATTCTGGTATGGGACAGAGCAGGCAAACGTCAGCACACATCCGATGATGAAGAGGGGGGTTACATACCGCTGCGAGGGTGGCAACACTCATTCGCTCACGACGCGATGCACGAGGCCCGCGGGCTAATGAAGACATTTGGTTTATTGGAGATAGATTGGAGAACTTCATGCGCATTTGAACCTCAATTCGAAACCAAGACGTCGCTCATATCCCATCGCCAAATCCGTTTCCACAAGCCGCCACAAACTTCCAACACACCGCGCCGGGGGTTCCGACGACATCTCCCACCCTTTACCATTCATACACTGTGACCTTTCGCGTTCGGCCTCTTGCTATTTCCCACAAGTCGGACTGGTAATGTGGCTCTTCGATCCATCTCTTCCGCGCGGTTGATTTGGGGTTGTCTCTAGCATGATCGCCGCTGACCATCGCGTTGTAGATGCGCTCTACGTTGCGGTTGCGATCGCGTTGTAGATGCGCTCTACGTTTCGGTTGCGATCGCGTTCGAACCAGCTCGATAGTCGGGTCAGTGGCAGGATCCCTCCCGGTTCTGATCCTTACATCTGGAATATCCTTCCGCTTGGAATACGCCTTAGGTGCGTTGATGAACATGCGGATCTGCCACGCCGAGCACATGACGTTCTCGCAGATGCACTTCTCTTGTCGTCGTTGGTGAACTCCCACACAGCGTGCTCGGGGTTGGCATCGATGAACATGGCAAGGAACATCTGGCCTTCGAAAGGCTGGATGTCTCGGATGTCCTTGGCCATGGACCGCGCGAGGTCGTCCATAGTGGCGTAATGGGTGGCGAAACCGGGTCCTCGTCCTCGTCGGATCCTTCTTTCTTCCACGGCCGGCCAGCCTCACAACATACAACTACTTGCGCTGACGTTTGTTTGCTGCATTGTGAGGCTGGCCTTTCCGTTTCTTCTAGACACAGCGTTGGGAGCGGCGCCGCAGAGGTGCCATGCGAACCCAACACAGAACACTCCATACGGCGCTCAGTACCGAGCCCGACGGCAGTATTCTGCATCAGGTCGCAGGCGACCTGAGGCGCCAACCACCCACCGGGGGACCCGATGGGTGTGAAGGCGGCTTACACCGGCCGAAGCCTAGAAAAGTTAGCTCATGCCTCATGTGCGGTTTGGATAGGATGTTGCTTGGACGTACCGCTGCGGTGCCATGCTAAAACGTTCCGTGGATGGCATAGGCGCGAGCGATCCTCCCATAACGAACACATTCTTCCGACGAGTCTACGAACGCGAACTCGAGGTTCTTCGGTCCAATGTGCTCGTTGTAGAAGTTGCTCAAGCGCTCTACAACACCCACGGATGGAACCGGCGTTGCGGACTTGGTCCCATGTGAGGGTTGCCACGGTCTCCGTCACCGCGCCGAATGATGTCAGCGTCTTACGATTTCCCACGAAGACCAAGGCTAGAAGCTTTTACGAACGAACAACTCTGCGCAACGAGTTTAATGCCGATGGTGGATAGGGCCCCGACCTCGCCCATATCCAGTCGCCCCCAACCGAATAACTTGGGACGTCCTTGATGATACTCGGCGTTCGTAACTTTGAACTCTTCATCAGACTATGCTTGTCAGTAGCTGGACGAGAGTATGCGAAAAGTACTCACGAGTGGCTTCTTCCGCGCCTTGCGCTTCTTCTTGCCGGAGGGACTCTGATCTCCAAGTCGGCAACAACAGCTGCACATGCGCGGCTCGCACCACAGCGGAGACAGGCGGTGTTCTTCGCGAAGTTGTGGTAGCTGCCGTCTCTCTCTTTGCACGACCAGGGCGATGGTATCATTCCCCGTTCAAGCATCTAAGCCTGCGTGTCAACCTCCATCCCGTATCCTACTCGTGTCCAAAGCTATACGTCGATCCTTGGCTTTGACAGGTGGTTACTCTGAATCGCTGTCAGGAATATCGCCACGGCCAGACTTCTTGAAGCGCGGCTTGTCCTCGGCAAGCAGAAGCACTTGATCGCGTCCGTCGTATCTCTGGCCGCCGAATTTCCAGGCCACAAACTTCTCTGCGTCCTACATGATGCAGGAAGCTTTCGCGGAGGTCATCAGGGCAGCTGCATGGCGTGTTGTCGGTGCGCCAACCCCATTAGGGGAAGGCGACTTACTGCTTGCAGGTCCAGAACGCAACTGGACGTCCGCCGAATTGAGTAAACCAGCTCTCTAGTTCTGATTGGGTAGTGTCGTGGGGGAGGCCGCTCGTGTGCAGAACCTTGCTTCGCTCTGACAAGAAAGCGCGAACGTCGGCGCGGGCGTCCATCGGCTTGGTCAAGACGTCGAGGTGGCCTTGTGGTATCCACAGCCGTTCTCTCCGCACTTCCAGTCTCCAGCCCTAAAGGGCACAGCGCCGGTGCCACCGCGCATATGTCCACCACCCATTCCGTGGCCGTGGCCATGACTCATGTGGTGTTGAGGGGGGCCCAGCCCTAAAGGGTACAGCGCCGGCGCCTCCACGCATGTGTCCGCCACCCATGCCGTGGTCGCTTCCGGTGTGACGGCCCGCCAACACGAGTTCTCTTCTGGTATCGAACTTCTTGATGGGGTGTTCTCGTGTTGACGGGCTTCACGAGGGCCGACTCGCGATGCAGCTGTTGTTGAGTCAGCGCTTGAGATCGGCATTGGATCGGACAGACGTACCTCTTCGCACGACTTTGCCGTTGAACTTGCCCTCCTCGTCTTTGTACATGTTGATTCGAGGCTGAGGAGGGCAAGTCCTGTTCTCAGGAACATCACAAAGAGGTTCGGCATGGCTTTCTTGTTCGGCTGCATCATGTTAGCGAGTGATCTAAACGCTTGAGACGGTACTAACCTCGGGCTCCTTCTCGGCTTTTCGCTTCTTGCCAGCTTGCGGCTCTGGCGGTGCACAAGAGTGCGTATATATCGAAATAGCGCCATATTGTCGCACTCAACACTTTCGAACGGCCTCAGGGAGCTTGACATTTGCGTGCGGCGCCTGGTGCAGCTGCCCTCTCCGTGCGACGGCAAAGAATTGGTGGTAGATGTCCATGCGGTCGTTCTCGTGCTCGTCGCACGGGTACATGTAGAGGCCTCTCCGGAAGCCATGATACCAGCGGCCGTTTTCCATGTAGTTGCTGGTTTGGGTCGTTCTGACTGGCAGTGCTCCATGGCCCAGTAGAGGGGATCGTTGGGGTCGAAGTCGCTCACGCCCTGGAGGTTGAGAGATTCGGGCCATGCATGTTAGCCATGATATCTTGAAGGTAGGCTGCGGATGCCCTTCGTTCTTGCTCAGGCGCGGGACCACATGCACCGCACCCCGAAGACGTTCACCGTTCTTGCTGAGGTCCACGATGCGGGCATGCTTCTCCTTGAGCTGGGTTAGTAAGTTCTAGTGCGGAGATTGCTAACAGAGCACATACCTTGAGCGGCGCCCGACATGATGTCTTGGAGGTGAAGTCGAAGTAGTTCTCTTCGTAGAAAACTTGGAGAGCGACTGCCTGGAATTGGCGAGAGACGAACTACTCCGACTCCACCTCATAGCGAAGCGTGTGGCGTTGATGAGCCGCCCGTTCATGCAGAGCGATTCCGCAGCCTATTCAATATTAGTAAAAGCGGGTATATTGCTAATGCGGTACATACCTCTTCTTGGGACGAGAAGATGGCAAACCCAGTTCCGGTGGGCTTGTGCTGGTCAGGGGTGCGGGCGGCGTTTTAGTAATGACCAAAGCCGAGACTGAATAGTATGTTAGTATGCAAGAGATGGAACAAGGTTATAAAAGAAGAGTCAAAAGAGTACTGGAGGGGAGAGAGCAAGACGTTGCCAAAGGCGGGGTTGAAGGCGCCTCGCAGCGACTTGGGGCAGGATGGGTATACCGCGCGATCCACAGTACAGAGCGCGAAGAGAGTACAGTGTTCAAGCAGGCAAGGAGTGTGAGTATGACTTACCAGGTACGTCGCCATCGAGGAGGTGGCGCACAAGCGTGCATGAGTGCACGTATCAGGCTCGAAAAAGCCTTGCGTTCGCCCGCCGGCTCTGATGAGGTTGTCAGAGAGTGCACGAAGAGACTTAGAGCGGAGTAAAGGATTGACTTACGTATCGTGGGGCAGGCCGCTCATGTGAAGCACTTTGCTGCGCTCCGACAGGAAGCCCCAAGGGCGCTGTCGAGCTCAAAATTTTGCATATAGCTGTGGTGGTGGGTGGTTGAAGAGTTGGAGGGGGAGGTCGGTGGACGAGCTTATATGGCAGCCCTGGCCAGGCTGCCAGCCTCGCAGCTAAGGCTCGCGGCCTCACGCTCACCATCACTTGGCATCAATGGATGTTCCAGATGCCCCTGACGTCGTATCAACACCAGGAAAGTTGGAGGACCTTGCGACGGGCTTCACGGTGCTTGTCGTACTGCCCTTCGGGCTCTGGGGAGGAGGGGTGTCAAGGTATAGACAGGCTCGAGGGGAGACTCAATAACCTGGACCCTGAGCTTCCAGATAGCACTAGGGGTGAAGCAGAGAAGCAGTTGCGACCGTGCGCGGTGGCGGAGGCGCTCACCCCAAGGGTGTAAATGTGGGAGTGCAACTCCACCACGTCGAGAAAGAAACACCAGGAAAGTTGGAGGAGGATATCGTGAGCTCTGCGCTGCTTTTGGCACTCCCCAGATATTTTTTGGTCTGGTGGTGGTGAAGATTCAGCGTGGAGGGGGTGGGTTGCGCGAGAGTCCTCCGCAAAAACCAGTTGAGGGAGCAAAGGAACACCAAACTTTTCGCTGAGAGCTTCACATGGGGTAGCTGGCAGGCTCATGCAACACGGCAGCAGATGTCTATGAGGGTCGACAGAGCACCGCAGCGAAGCCTTGAACCGTACCTTTCTCCTGACACTTTTTTGGCCTGAATTGACAAAGTGCTTGTGGAACCGCAGCTCGGACACGGAGGAACCCTCGAGACTTGGGCGCAAATCACTGCCTTGGGGCTTTGAGAACATCGAGTCGGCCGCGGAGGTGGCGGGCGGTGCAACACCAAGACCATAGCGCCGGCCTGCGGCGTCACGGCCATGAGCAGCTACCGAACATCGAACGCCCCCGGGCTTGCCTACACCAACACCCATACCTTCAATCTTCCCTGAGCCAGATTGCTTATGCTACTGTAGAGCTACTGCCTCGAGAACGCGAACGACCCTCGACGATTCACCGCAAACCCAGCCCACCGAAGAGCCCGAACCCGCAATCGACAGTAGAGCTCCATATTAGAGATATTATGGGATGCATATTCGGGGCCTTGCAGCATGTCAATGTTACCTCATCTTGTGGGACACATGTCAGCGGCTGAGGGTCCAGGGTCCTGTACAGACAGACATGAGGACGGCGAACGACTTTGGGTATACGGACAGGAGCATACCAGGATGGCCAGGGTACTACGACGCAGAGCTGTGATACTATGCGACTTCCGCAAGCCATAGTTCACGAATTCATACATTAGAGGCTTCAACAGGTATCATACATGGATGGGTCACAACGTCTACGTGGATGTCACACAGGCACGAGTTTGATCAACGAGTTGGAATGTATGCGTCGAGGGTACTGCAGAACTATGCACATTTCCACAGAGATCGAGTACCGAGTCGGCGAATGCATCCCTCATGAGGCTGTTGACGAGGGCAGCAAGGAGTCTACAATCCGAGTCTGATGATCGAGATATAGATGCCATGACCGCCAGGGTTATATATGGAGATACTGGGGGTGGCAGGCATGGTCAATATGTCTAATAGAGGCGACATGACCTTGGGGATGTCATGGTTGCTGTGACTGAAATCCTTTGTCTACGACAGGCTCCCTCGTGGTCGGTGTAAGAGTCTTCACTTGAACCAATGTGGTATTATGTACTGGTGACTTCATCGTCATTCAGATGCATTCATTATGGTATCTTAACAAAACTACATACCCTCGCATCATCCGTACATGGTCAGGAAGATACCACCCGCCTACTCAAACTCAACTCCTTCCATCGCATCCTCCTCGGGCATCGCCCACAACTCCCTCTCCAACCAGTTCCTCACCAGAGAAGTGTCCACCGTCCCATCCTTCCAGTTCACCTTCCTCCAGCCCACCGGCGTCCCATCAAGGCCAACCGGCCACTTCTCCCAAACCTCCTCCAAATCCTCACCATCTACACTGTACGTCCACCAGCCTCTCGCAGCAGCCCGATGACTTCCAGCTGCCTCCTCCTTCACCTGCTTCGTCTCACCATACAAGGATGTATACATCCATTCTCCACCCGGAGGGTGTCCGGCGGGAGGGCCACGGGTGTCGCGGAGGGCGCTCAGACGCGCGATCTCGTCCTCGTAGAGACGCTTCAGAACGTGTTCGTTCTGAAGGGGGGTCAGAGAGGGGTGTGGGAGCGGCTTTTCGAGGTGGCCGATCCACAGGGGGCAGTCTGATCCCTTCTCGAACGCGAGGGTCGAGATGGCGTCGGCGATCTTGGCCTTGGCCTGGCTCATGTTAGTAATGATGGTATATGTGATCGGATGGACGGGCTTACCTCTTCTTCGACCACCTCAGGAGTGGGAGTCGACGTAGCACCGACAGTAGGCTGTTTGCCCACGACAGGAGGGTCTTTCCGAATACGACCTGAGTCGGGGTCGTCGATGTCGCTCTCAGAAGGACTCAAGACGCTGTCAGAGTCGGAATCTGACTTGTCGCCGTAGCCCAGGAAGGCCCTGTTGAGATGACGTCTAGTCCAGACAGGGTCGCCGCCAGCGGACAAGATGCCCTGGTGACGACGTTGTCCGTCGATGACCCACTGCTGCTTCTTTGCCTCAGTCGCAGCCGCCTGCTCGAGCTTCTCTTGCTCTATCTTGGTTTCGCGGTCGAGGAGGAGATTCAACATGGCCCGTTCAACCGATGTCTCCCTGTTCTCCAGGCGAGCGGCGACGAGACGGTTGAACTCATCTAGTTCGCGCGTCTGTGGTGACTTCTGCGCTTCCTTGATGACTTGACCGGTCTGAAGAGGGGTTGAAGTTAGTGTCTGCTTCCTTTTGAGTTGGGGCAATGGTAACTTACGAAGCCGACGGGAATGGGCGTCTCCTCCGGCAGTGAAGAGTACGCGAGTGCATGGCGACGTGCGGGCGTGTTCTTGTCCTGGACAAGCCCCGCGTAGTAGGCCGCGATGTCGCGCTTGGCTTCGCCGATGGAGTTGGGCGCCCGGCGGGCTTCGCGCTTGGTGCGAGCCATTTTGAATGAATGGAGAGAGTGTATAGAAAGGTATTACACGTGTAAGAGGGAGGGGTATAGAGAAATGAGGTAGAGTTGTGTTGGTGGGGTGGGAATATCGGTGGTGTGTGGGCGATGAGGGAGTTTGTGCGTTTGTCGAGAAACTCTTTCAGTTTGGCGACCACAACGCCGCCTAGTTCTTCCGTCATCTGGTGTTTTGCTTTGGCTTTCACACGAACTCCGCCGGCAGGAGCTTCAACGTATGGGCTTTCGCGTCGAGCGGTCGCGCTCAGTCTCTGCTATCAGATTAGTGTGCTGCACAACGGCGACGAGAATATAGGAAGGCTTACTGTTGATGGAGCAGTTCATGAGTTTCCTGCTTTGGTCCATGTAGGAAGGCCTCCCTACGGTATTAATAGTAGAGAGACAGTGTTTGTAAGACGTGCTCGCATCCACGAGACCGCCGGTCCGTTTGCCATCTTCTATCAGGCGTGGTAGAGCATGTGAGCCCAGACAATGGAATGACGTTTGCCAGGCTGACGTGATCACTCAAATTGACGCACAAGGTGAGATAAACGGTAGACAAACAGAATATGATATGCATAGAGACATCAGGGGTATTATACAAGCGCTCATGGCGACATAAGAAATCCAACAACTCCGCGCTTCACATCATTCAACATCGTGATAAGAAAGGAAATCGATCCAGCCCGGTACGCCTCGATGATGGCTGGTACAGAGTATAGCGCATTAGGTGGACTTAGACATGGTCGTGTCTTCCGAGCAACTTGCCCTTCTTGCCGAGAGCCTTGGCCTCGCCCTGCTTGATCTTCGCGAGTCTCGCTCTGTATACTCATTAGCAACCACTCAACATCGTATCCATTGCCCACGGTAGTACTTACTCCTCAGCAGCCTCACGCTCCAAACGATGAACATGCTCCCGCGCCTCCCTCACAGCGTTCTTGGCGACAAAGAGCGCACGGTCAGCGTCCCTCTCCGCAGCCTCGGCAGTCATCAAACTCTGCTTCGCAGTCGCAATGCTAGGGTCTCCGGAGCCACGGCTGAACATGCCAGATGTACGCTTAGGGGACGAGGTGTATGTCGTGGTGGTGCGGCTGGTGGAGCTGCTATGGCGCGAATCCCTGTACGAAGGGGAAGAAGAGCGACGCCTAGAGAACATGGAGTGTTTCTGAGGAGGAGCAGGAGGTGGGCTGGGCTCCCGCTTGGATCCGAAGAGAGGCATGTTGTTGGTTTGGTGTAGGAGTTATAAGAAGCTTCAAGATGGTCGATACAAGATCTGGAGTGCGAGATGCGTGCTTGGCTAGACGTTGGAGATGATAAAGTCTGGAGATTTAGAGTTGAAGATTCGGAACGCACATGCCGGGTCTTATATGTGAAGTCCTCCCTGTCATAGCGCTCCTTCGTCGTGTCTTCCCAGCGGTCTGTCAAAGTCGCGAAAGCAGGGTTCGGGAACCTGCATTGCGTGACGTCAATGCCCCAAAGCAGGGGGTGATCTGCGCCTCCAACATCACGAAAGCAGCCGCATCGTCATCGCTAATCTGCGAGATGAATTGGCAACCAGAAGTAACGGTTATCGCGAAACGTTTATCACGATATCGTGATTTGAAGCTTAGCGTGGTGTTGAAGTTTGTTGTGGGTCTGTGAGTACGCGTCCTGCGCCGGATCTGGTGCCGGAGGCATTTGGTGTACCGGACTTGAGGAAAGCTAGTGAGCTTAACGAGACTCCAACTTCAAGAACTTGGATGCCGATTGAACCGAGGAAGACAAGAATAGTCCTCGTTAAGCCTTATTTCGGCGATGCGACAATCCATGTGCTCGTTGGCAGCAAGTGATAACAGTGTATTCCAAGATTCTGTCTAACAAGGTCGGTGACTACCACCAGCCTTCTACGCCATGCACATGCAACGTGTATACCAAAACGCCACCCAATGCTCGCTATATATATGATACAATATAGATCAACTACATTTGGCCCCTTCACTGTTACCCATCATCGTTTTGCTCGTCGTCTTGATGATGCTGATGACCATAACAATACCTCCAAATGCCGCAACAGCCCCAGCCAAGTACGTCTTCCAGCTTCTTTGGCTCAGCTTCATGTAGCAAAGAGGCGGCAGGATGAAGGCTAATGCGCATGCAGATGTTGCGCCGAACAGTTCGAAAACAATGCCCAGATCGCAGGTGAGGAGGGAGAGTGTGAGGGCGGAAACGACAAGCGAGGTCGTGAAGATGAGATGGCGGTTCGGGTGGTACGGCTCGTCTGGAAACCAATAGTTGGTCATGACTTCTCGACATACAAAGGCTTCGAGCGGAAGCGTAGTAAGCATGTTGAGGCCGAAACACAGTCGCGCAATATTGACCATGAGGTTATCATTCGGAAAGTTATTCAGCACGTTGCCGAGGGTTTTGTCTCCGAAGGTCAAGTAGCCTGTTAGAGCCATGACAAGACATGCGACTAAAGATATACTGGTGCTGTAGTGTGTAACGCGTGTAAATCGATCGATCGTAGGTTTGCGGAGGGAGCCGTATATGAGGAGGCTGTTATGGTGGCAGACGAAGGCGAAAGCGATTACGCCAATTGCTTCGAAGATGCCGGGTCGTATGATGAGGTTGCCACGAAGCTGGCCCTTCAATTCGGCAGGTACACGGAAGGCTTGCGTGACTACGGTCACTATGATGATGGTCATGCTGACCAGTGCTAGACCACTTGCTTTGGCCAGCTACGAATTGTCAGCGCAATATGAAGCTGAACCGCGGATTCCTTACCTTGGATATATCCCGATAGAGCGATAATGGAAAGGATATGCCAAGAATGAGCAGGATCATGATGGCCCGTCTGTTAGTCAGTAGCCAGAGAAACGGCAAATCTGCTAAAGAAGGGAACATCGAGTCCAAGACCCTTGGTATTGTATCTCCGACTACGACGCAGAACGCGACCATGCCACCAAAAGCGCTGTATGCTGTCAATACCCTTGCTGCCACAAGTCGTAGGGTAAACATACAAGAGCCATTGCGCGAGAGATATCGCTATCAACCCAGATTTCCCGAAACAGTGTTGCACCGTGGCTTGAAACGAATCGGTGCCGCTGAGCTTGGAGTTTATGACAATGAGTCGTATGGTCCAGTCTACTACGATGGTAAGGCCGATGAGGAGGGCGGTGCCTGTTACGAGGCCTGCGTTGCGAACAGCGTAAGGTTGGCCGATGATACCAGCTCCTCTGCTTTGTGTCAGCCCAATTCCATGTTTTCTTGTTCGGTGGCATACATTATACTGTTTGCCATGTTCATGAACGCGCTCCGCATCCCGCTCCGTGGTCGCGCATTCTCGAGATGGTCTTCCGGATTGAAGGATTCCTCGGCGACTGTGACGCTCGGCGCCTCGATTCCAGTAAGCAACGGAAGCCGCTGTGTTCTTTCTCGTCCGTCTCCGCCATCCAGGTAGTCGTCTCCATCGAGCTCGAGCCAGTCGTCGCCGCCGTTGTCTCCATTCATGCTCCTCCTGGGTTCCTCAAAGCGCACCCGATTGGGCGTCCTCGGTGCGCCATCGGGCCGGGCTTGTGCGAACGACGACTGCCGCTTAATGTTGCCATTTGGGCGTGACCCGGGTGGTGCTGGAGACGCGGAGGTGGTTCGCGATGACGAGGGCGATGGAGACAGGTGTCGCGGACTTGGTTTGCGCTCGTGTTCGGGTTCTGAGTCGCTGTCGGAAGGGTGCTCATGCAGGAGCTTCTGGCTTTCGCTCATCGTGGCATTGTCGAAGTTCAGGGAGGTTTGCAGCTTGAATGATCGTCGACATGTCACTCCCGACTTCTGACATCGGACATTGGACCCCTGTTTCGCCACTAGGTCTTATGTGGCCTAGTGCTCGTCGTCACTTCCGGCGAGAATTGTGGGGTACCTTTGGCTGAGCGATAGAATTTCATCCTTGTACGTGTTCGATCATTCGCATTACACTACATATGCTACCTATGTTTGAGTTCGCTCAAGCTCAAGCCTCGGATTGTACCCGACACATCTGTTATAAGATGCTCCAATTCTGTTTGCAGGTTACATGGATGGTAGTCGTAACCCATGGAAGGCATCCATTGCGCCGAATCCATATTTTGCAACTGGTCGCAAAGTACGCTGAAGCTCAGATCTCGGAACGGGATCTCAGGTCGAGGCTGATCAAGACCCATACAACTTAATCCCTTCATCAGACTTCCGAGAAGAAAAGCGCCACACGAGAAAGAGATATTAGGATCCCCATTGTACCGGCATTGGTAATTTGTCGCTCGATACACCTCAAGACGCTTGTAAAGGCCCTCAAGAAGAGACTCAATTGCCAGGTATCGCCTGGAGTCGATTTCATCTGCTGTGCATAAGAACATGTCTGGCTGTAGCGATTTGTAAACCCACGTACCTGATACTATCGCAGGAATGGGAAGATCCAATGTCCTCAAGGACCCAGTGATCTGCTTAATGGATGTTGCCGTGGCTTTCGTGAACTGTTGTTCAATACCAAACACCCATGCAACCCAGATCCACAAAACCAGATCTCTACCGTGCATTTGGGGTATAGGTCTCTGTGTAAGCTCCCGGATCCACACCTCCGTGAACACATCGAGAGCCTCTCCGAAGTTGTAGTAGTCCTCCAGCACAGCAATTTTGGCAAGCATCTCCAAGGGCACTTCTCGTGGAATCAGCTTATTGCGACCGTGAACAATACGCAGAACAATGAGGAAGGCTTCGGCATCCCAGTCGTGAGCCGTTATGTGGTAAAGGCCATCGGCTTCGTTGCGAACAGACTCGGCGAACCCGTCCCGTGCTAACATTCGTCTGAATGCAGCCGACGCAAGTATCAGGTGGCGTGATGACACATGGTAATGGATCGACTCCTCCTCAGGCTCTTCCGGTAAGATCGGTGACGGCGTACGCTGCACAGCAGAGGAAGGTTCTGCAAGCGCGGTGAACCCTTCATCCAAGTTATACATGCTGCTGTCTGCAGGAGTCTCGACAAGTGCAGGTTCCTGGAGAGGTGGAGACGTGGAGGGTTGTGGGTGCTCTTCACTGTACTGAGTTAGGACAAACTTGTTATGCTTGATCGGTGGTCTCTCTTGTCATACCCCAACTTCTTCCCTTTCTTCTTCTTCTTCTTCGTCTTGTAATATACACGCACTGGTCCTCCGCACATGGCTTGCTTTGGACTCGCTTCCTCCGGATCGCAAGGCGCAAAGATTGTACACGGATTCTTGAGCACAATGACCGTATCCGGATCCGGATCGATGATGTGGACGACGGGTGCCATGATTGGTGTGCAAGGGTATGCAACGAGGTCAGAGAAAGTGTACCCACCGCACAAGACAGCGGCCTTGCGAGCTAGATATCACGCGGAATGCTTGAGAAAGAAGATGTTCAGCCTTCGGCCGGGAACCAAAGTAGGCTGAGACCTACATGTCGCTTCTGTACAATGCGCGCATCCATTACATTGACCTGCGCATCATGCCCAATAACACATGCAGAACCAGCTATCAGTGCGGAGTCGTGCAGCGATGTGTTTGCTGTTCAGCGCCAACCCAACGGAAAAGATGTATCATTGGAGGCTCGCGTTACACAACGCCACTGAGCTGCATCGCCAATACATGCGGGATAAGACATGCATGCAGAGGACGGAATACGGTGCGAGGAATGATTGGATGTGGTCAAATGGCACTGCGAGCGCGCAACCGGTAAAGGCGTAGTGTCGTGGCTTGAGGTTCTGGAAAAGTGTATGGAGAAATACAAACATGGCGGCTAGCGACGAGATGCGTTGCGCAACTGCCATTGGTAGAGATCATGACCATATTCTCTTTCCCATCCCTCCTCCACCAGCACACTCCTACAAAGCCTTCCTAACCGCACTCTTAAACGGAATAATCTGCATATCCTCCAAATTCCACACGCCCTCCTTAACATAAACATCCTGCTTCAACCTCTCCACAACCTCCTCCCTCGTCTTAGCACCAATGAGGCACGCTGAGCCCTTCATCTTGGGTGGGCCCGTGTCGCCTTCTTTGATGGGCTCTTCGAGCATCGCTCCTACAAACATGTAGCATTAGCTTTATCCTCTCTCGTACAAGAGGGGGGTGTGAAAATACCACCCCACAACCACATATCCTCCCTATCAGCCTTCAACCCCTCGAGATGTTTCGGGCGACTCGCGATACGCTTCTGCAGCGCATCCTTATGATCAGGCACGATGATGAGCCATTCTTGTAGTGGAGCGGTAGACGATGCCATTGTGCGTTGGTATATCTTTGGTACGAAGCGTGTTGGTGTTGCGAGGACGGGGCGGAAGGTGCGGAGGGCAAACATATGTATGTGTCGTAGCAAGCAAGGCGGGCCAGTGGGGCTGCGGCTATGGGAGCTTGAGCTTAGGAGAGCTACGAGAAGGTGCGCGTGTTAGCTTCTTGGTTGAGGGAATTGGGTGGAGACAGATACGTACGGTATGCAGTACTTCAAATGTGTTTATAGAGGTACGCCGAGTAGTATGTACTTCCAAGGGCGCGTGTTGGTTGTACTGAGGTAGGGCGCAATGTGGGGAAGATGTAGCTTCCTGTTCGGAATTAAGCCGCGGCTTTCGGAACGTGTCACGCTAGTGTCGGAGCGTGGGGAGATTGAGGACATCACGGTTGACAGACACATGTGCATGTGTGGAGAAAAGTGTGTTCCAAAGAACGTTATGTTCGCTACATACATTATGGTTTGACAATAAACACATCCAACTCATGAGCTCATACCTCCTTGCGTTAATCCAAGCGTGCCTACGCGTAAAGACCACCAACGCCGAAAACAATCGGAAAGACCATATGCGTCAGAGCGCTGCTCTTACCTAAACCCATCCTACAAATGTGCATTGCAGTGCTTAACCACTGCACATGACGCAGGACTCAGGGTTCTCTATCGAGCAAGCAAGGGCGGCTTCAGCATAGATGTCACCATCCCGGTCCTCGCTGTCATCCTTGGAGTCCTCATCTTGTTTGTCCTTCCTGGTGATCTCCTCGTCCGGCTTGACGGCTGCATCAGCAGCTACCATCTTTGGGCTCGCGCCCTCCTCCACATCGGCCTTGAAAGGCTTGCTTGCGAGAGCGTTGCGGGTCTCCGTGACAGGCGTTGGAGTAGCATCTGGGGTAGCATCTGGGGTGGGAACACCGTTTTCCTCCTCCTTCTTCTCCTCGCCGTTGGTAGGCTTGGTGGCATACATTGGACGAGGTGCCGAAGATGGGGTTTGCGAAGCAGTGACAGGTGAGTGTCGGATAGCCTCAGGCTGGAAGCCCGGTTGCTTTCGTACCTTGGGTAGAGCACGAGCAACGTTGGTGTCTACGACGTTGAGGGCCTCTTGGTCGACAGTGAACTGGATAGGTGCTGAAGCAGCCATGGTACGGAGATAGTACATGCCAGTCTTGAGACCAGCCTTCCAGCCAGCAAAGTGCATGGAAGTGATCTTACCCATGGTAGGCTCCTTCATGTGGATGTTGAGAGATTGGGACTGGTCAATGAATGCACCACGGTCAGCGGCCATCTCAATGATCCTCTTCTGCGAGATCTCCCACACGGTCTTGTAGAGCGTCTTGGTCTCCTCGGGGATGTTTGGAATCCTGGCAATTGAACCGCCATCAGCGATGATACGGTTCTTCATGTTCTCAGACCAGAGGCCCATGTCGACGAGATCCTTGAGCAACCATGGGTTGACGACCTGGAACTCACCCGCAAGCACACGGCGAGAGTAGATGTTCGATGTGTATGGCTCGAAGCATTCATTGTTGCCCAGAATCTGCGAGGTAGAGGCAGTTGGCATGGGCGCGATGAGCAGAGAGTTGCGTACACCGTGCTCAGCAATCTTTGCCTTCAAGGCAACCCAGTCCCAAAGATCTGTAGGTTCGACACCCCACATGTCATACTGCAGTTGACCCTGAGAGACGGGGGATCCCGGGTAGGTCTCGTAGGGACCAAGTTCCTTTGCAATATCGCATGAGGAAGTGAGAGCAGCGTGGTAGATGGTCTCGAAGATCTGAATGTTGAGTTTCCTCGCTTCATTGGACTCGAAAGGCATGCGGAGGGCAAGGAAGGCATCAGCGAGACCCTGGACACCCATACCGATGGGTCGGTGGCGGAAGTTGCTGCGGCGTGCTTCTTCGACTGGGTAGTGGTTGACCTCGATGATCTTGTTCAGGTTGCGAGTGACGACCTGTGTGACTTCGTGGAGCTTCTTGAAGTCAAACTCGCCACGCTTGTAGTCGACGAAGGAAGGCAGGGCAAGAGAAGCCAAGTTACAGACGGCAACCTCATCAGGAGCAGTGTACTCGACGATTTCGGTGCACAGGTTGGAGCTGCGGATGGTACCGAGGTTCTTCTGGTTACTCTTGCGGTTGCAAGCATCCTTGTAAAGCATGAAGGGGTTACCAGTCTCAGTCTGAGCCTCAAGGATGGCGTACCAGAGCTTCTGGGCGCGGACAGTCTCGCGACCCTTGTTCTGCTTCTCGTAGCTCTCGTACAGAGCCTCGAACTCATCACCATAGACATCGGCAAGGCCGGGGCACTCGTTAGGGCACATGAGTGTCCAGTTTCCATTGTCTTGGACACGCTTCATGAACAGGTCGGGAATCCACAGAGCGTAGAAAAGGTCACGAGCACGGACCTCCTCTTTGCCGTGGTTCTTGCGCAGGTCGAGGAAGCCGAAGACATCGGCGTGCCATGGCTCGAGGTAGATGGCGAAAGCACCGGGACGCTTGTTGCCACCCTGGTCGACATAGCGAGCAGTGTTGTTGTACACACGGAGCATAGGGATGAGACCGTTGGATGTTCCGTTGGTACCACCAATGTATGAGCCAGTAGCACGAATGCGGTGGACGTTGAGACCAATACCGCCGGCGGTCTTGGAGATCAACGCACATGTCTTGAGTGTGTCGTAGATACCGTCAATGCTGTCCTCCTTCATGTCGATGAGGAAGCATGACGACATTTGTGGCGATGGTGTACCCGCGTTGAACAGTGTGGGCGAGGCGTGTGTGAAGTACTTTTGAGACATGTAGTCGTAGGTCTCGATGGCCTTCTCAATGTCGGCTCCATGAATGCCGACAGCGACACGCATAAGCATGTGTTGTGGGCGCTCGGCGACCTTGCCGTTGATGCGGAGGAGATATGAGCGCTCAAGCGTCTTGAAGCCGAAGAACTGGTAGTTGAAGTCGCGGTCGTAGACTATAGCCGAGTTGAGCTCGTCGGCGTTGTCCATGATGATCTTGTAGATGTAATCAGAGATCATGGGTTGGCGGGTGTTGTTCTTGGGGTTGACATAGTTGTACAGCTCTTCTACAACTACAGAGAATTGCTTCTGTGTCTGTTTGTGAAGATTTGATACGGCAATACGCGCAGCGAGGATGGCGTAGTCGGGATGTGTGGTGGTCATGTATGCGGCAGTCTCGGCGGCCTGTCGTCTGTTAGCCACTGGAAAGACATTGAACTCATCGAGAGCCGTACCAAGTCGTCTAGTTGGACGGTGTTGACACCCTGGTAGACACCAGAAATGACCTTCATGGTGATGGCGGCGGGGTCAACATGGTCCGGGTCGAGGCCGTAACACAGCCTTGAGACTCGTGCTGTGATCTTGTCGAACTGCACGCGTTCCTTGCGTCCATCTGGAGTCAATCGTTAGTGGTGAAGATTTGAGGCGGTGAAGGCAAAGCAGTACATACCACGCTTGAGGACGAACATGTTGAATTAGAAAAGTAGTGGGGGTATCTGTGTGGGTATCGTGAAGAGGGTGTACTGAGGAGAGTGCAGGAGTGAGGGGTGGGTGGACGCAGGGACACTTATAACGCGTAAAGAGAAGAAACGCGTCCCGTCGCGTTGCTTGGGTCACGGATCCGTTTAGTGCTAAAGTGGCTGCTTGCATAAGCAGAGCAGGCGTGGCAGGGATGTGGAGTCGGGGAAGCGACCGCCGATGCTCGAACTTTTCGCGGGCGACAGTATCGCGGCGTGCAAGAGGTTGAGGTAGTGCAGCAACTTCAAGACCCTCCACGCCCCTTCCGGCCTATACAGAACCAATTGCCCGTCATGGCAGGCGGTCACATGAAATATCGCCACCTCAGCCGGTCGTCGTCGCATCGTCAAGCGCTCCTGCGGAACCTCGTCACATCGCTCTTCAAGCACGAAACCATAGCGACAACATGGCACAAGGCGAAGGAGGCACAGCGGTTAGCGGAGAAGCTGATTACCCTCGGAAAGAAGAACACTGAGGCGACACGGCGGAGAGCGACACAGATCTTCTATGTACGAGCCCCAATGGCATGTCCAGAGCGCGCACTGATAATATCAGGAACCAAATGAAATGGTACCCAAGCTATTCGGCCCCATAAGAGAGCGCTACGAATCCAGACCCGGCGGCTACACCCGAGTACTCCGCGTCGAGCCCATGAAAGAAGACCAAGCCGAATCCGCCATCCTCGAACTCGTAGACGGACCACGAGACATGCGCTTCGCCATGACCGCAAAGACACTAGCAAGGAGACCAGCAAACCTAGGTCTGACACCAGGAATCACAACGCACGTCAAGAAGGTTACACAATTCCGCAAGGACGGTGTAGATGGCTTGCGGGATATGGTTGAGAGGTTACGGATACTACACTCCACAGGTCTGGACAAGAGGACATTGCCCGCGCCTAAGAAGGTGTACCCAGAGATTGAGATGAAGAGGACCATGCATTACCCTGAGGAGGTGGATATGGGCAAGGCCCCGAACAAGGTTGTTGGACCAGCAAAGCAGAAGTACATGATAGAAAGGAGCCGAAGGTTACAGCAAGAGAAGGAGGAGCGCACAAGGGCGCATAAGGAGAAGATGGAGAAGATGAAGAAGGTCAAGGCTTGAGAAGTCACTTTGAAAGCGACGACGCTATCCAGCGAAGCCTCTGTAGCAAATGTGTAAATGTACAACAAACAGACGTTCAATACGACTTCCACGCGGATTGATCAAGCGACTTTCGAGCAAGCTTTGTGACGCAGTTACGTCTTTGAAATAGGGCGGGTGATCAAGTCCCTCAGGAAACTCAGTGCGACTGCCTCACCCCGTTTGTAATTTGCTCGTATACGCGCTCGAGATGTCGAGGTGACCCAGATCGCGAAGTCTGATATGTCGTAGTGAAGGATCCCCTCACTGGGCTTAACGCCGCAGTGACCACGACATCAACTCTAAGATGAGGCTGCCTAGGTGTATATAAAGCCTACTTTCGCGCGCTTGTCAGCCTCCCTCTCTCCTTCGTCTACTATATATCAACTTCTCAGTAACAATATGTCGGCCAGTAACCAGCAACAGCAGTCACAGACACAGCCCCGAATATCGTAAGTCATTATATCCGAGTACCAGTACTACCCAAGATGCTAACCTCGATAGAGCACCTAACACCGCCATGGCTGAGATCGTTATTGGGCCCAAGGCAAAACGCTTCACTGTGCACCTCAACCTTATTGTCTACTACTCGCCCTTCTTTCTCGCTGCCCTGAAAGGTCCCTTCAAAGAAGCCAAAGACAAAGTCGTCGCCCTGCCTGACACTGATGCGAACATCTTCGAGCTGTTCGCCAACTGGTTGTATCGTCAACGTTTCCCCACAGAGGCCGACTCTCCGCAGCTACTCGCGCTCTACCACCGCGACGAAGACGCCAACTTTCGATTTGACCGGCTTGTTAGGCTCTACGTCTTCTCCGACAAATACGACGTTCCTAAGCTCAAGCGGCAGTGTCTGGATATGATCTTTGAGTATCTTGTCGATGAGGATCTACTACCAGATCTCTCCCACGTTGTCTACGCAGTCAAGAACTTAGATGATGAGGATCCACTTCTACGCATGATCATCGATTGCTTCTGCTACTGGAGCGGGAGTGACTGCTGGGTGGCTAGCCGGATCGAACTGTTGCCGGCTCCGTTTCTAGCGAGGATCATGGCCCAATTTGTCGACTTTCGACACGGTGGTCTTGTAGGAGTTGATGAACCTGACTTATGCGACTATCATGGTCATGCAACGAGTGAAGAGAGGCAGACATGTGAGAATAGGCGAGAGACGGAAGAGTAGGCTAGGCAGATGATGCAGAATTGAGGATCGAGAGAAGCTTTGGTGGGTTCCTGGAAACGACGATCGAATGAGCTGGAGTTGCAAGATGTTTTACGGCATGGAGGTTTTCTTGGCGAGAGTAATAATTTGGAGTATCGGAGTTGATTGGCTATTTTTGTATTTCGAATTGGCGGGTAATGGTACAGCGACGAAGGAAAGGCCTGTTTGGCGAGGGTATTCGGACGCGTTGTTCTTTCCAACGCAAGATGGACTGCTTTTCTTAGAATTACACACTTGTAAAAACCCCATTTTGATAGTCGACGACAATTGCCTTCTCGAGTGCCGATACTGCTGCCTCCTTGAACGTCTTGTGGACTGGATCGTCATTAACATAGTAATCACGGTCTTCGATGGAGTGGAACTGCAGGACAAAAGCGTGGCTGATGCCGTTCTGTTTGAGAAGGTCAGATGGTTGACTATCTCTAAACTTCGATCGGCGCTGAATACCTGCAGATTCTCAGTCGAGATATCCTTCCCTCCCGAGATCGAAACAATGTACGGCCTGAGCGTAGTCGGATGTATGCATGTTTTCTTCAGCCCAAAGAATTGCGCAATCACCTAAGAAGTGGTCTCAGCGTCGCTCATCAGCGTGGGTCTTGCGCGCGCCTAACCTCCTTGACAGCGAACTTGCTGGTGCCATCTTTGAACTGGAACAACACGATATGCGTGGTGTAGGGTATGACTGGCCCATACGGCCCGAAGAAGTACTCGGCGAGCGAGTGTCCCACCGTCCGCGAGAAAAGTATGAGGCCTGTCGCGAGAAGCAGGCAAACAACAAGCCCGAAGGCCTTCTTTGGTATCATCATGCCGCTAGGAGATAGCTCCGTGGAGCGCGTGAAGTTGGCAGTGGTTCAATTCAAAAGCAAATCTATGCGCGCACTTTGCTGCAAGACAGCAGCGGAAGCGCATTGGCAGAGGTGCGACAAGGATAGAGGGAAAATCATCCCCCTCCCCGACGCAAAGGCAAGGTGTACCTGTCGACGAACCGAGGGGGATGCGAGCGCTAAATCCTGGAAGCACACAACCCGCAGCCGCAAATTGCTGGCAGATGGGGTAGTGGGTCCGAGCTCCCTGCTCACTCCACTTCCCAAGTGACGTACCTGAGTGAGAGACGCGCGAAGGAAGCACGTCGAAAGTCGAAAAGCCAGTCTTTGGCCGTGCTGTCGCCATGCTAAAGTTGCTATGGCGTACAGTCCAGGCCCGCACGAGGGCAAGTGGATGCGACTTGCATCAATTGGGACGGGCTGAGCCAGGTTCTGGCTCGATTGTCCACGATTGAGTGGGGCCTTGGCATCTACGTCATACGAATGTCAGGTGCAGGCCCTCGCTGCGGCTGCGACTACAAAAGAGCTCGTCTTCCTGGTCTCCTACAAACCATCACCACAAGCAAACTCACTTTACTCTCCCCCTTAACCTCATCCCAAACCACACACTACCATCACAATGGCCTCCCTACACTGTAAGCAAACACTCACTCCGCGTTCTAGCTGCTGCCCGCACTTGCACGAGTAATTGCGCACCATGTGGCAGCTTAGACATCGCAATTGAAGAATCTGACTAACAATTCATCTCAGACCTTCCTCCTGTCAAGCCCTCTGCCATTGCCCTCGGCACGGCCTTCAACCACGCTGTCTCCCTCGCCGTCCTCGGCCCCGTCTTCGGTGACGCATACCGCCGCGCACAGCAGGCCAACTCCAAGGAGGAGTACTTCCACAGCAAGGAGGCCGCTACCGCCGCCGCATCGTGGGGTAGCTCCGTGCTCGGCTCTGGTATCCAGGCCTACGGTGTCGGTGCTCTGATCAACGCTACCGGAACTCTCACCTACAAGGGTGCTGCTTACCTCGGCTCCTTGATCTTCTTCGCCTCCGCCGCTCCCTCCGTACGTCATCCCACGTGTCAACCAAATTTCATGAACACACTCTAACACGTGCACAGATTGTCTCCCAGGTTGTCACCGAGAAGCGCCCCATGGACACCATCGCCATTGGTGCCCTTGCCCGCGTCCTCGAGACCGTCGGTCTCAGCATGTTCCTCACCTACTGGGGAACCCGCACCAACCCCTTCGACTAAGCGTCTCGCCCCATAACGGCAGAGGAGTTTAGGGATTCTCATCTTTGGCGGTTTAGATTGATGCTTACAGTCAGCGAATGATGCAGATGATATGAGCTAGCAAAAAGCTTGATAAAGGGCTTGCTTCTTACGATGTAATATACCTCAATGAAGGAAATAATTCATGCAGTCGTCTTGATTATGCAAGTGTGATTATGTCTTGTTCGTGCCTTTACCCAATGCGCTTAGAAGTCATATGCATCTATGAGATAATGTCCCTAAGTCTTGGTACTATTTAACACCTAACCGAACATGCGAATATTGCTCGGTCTCATTCTTTGAGGTGCCATGTGTCTTTCTCTTAAACTCGCTGCGTTCATGAAGGCTTTGATGCATTCTAGCACAGCCTTTGTCATTCCCATACCCTCGCATGACATATTAACAGAACTTACAATAAGAGTCTTAGTGACCGAAGACAAGCTATGATGCAAAAACATCTATTTCAACTTGCTTTACACAGCATTGACGACATTGACTTTTGTCTTTGCTGCGAAGGCGTGGTGGTGATGTCGAAGCATAACAACTATGACGTTGAACAACTTGGTTGCATGAGCTACCTGCAAGTCTTCCCGAGTACCTCCCCTAGATATATTCGCTGCCTGCAGCTGCAAAGACGACTAAGGCTTGCTTATCAGGACCGCAGCTGTGGATTACATCTAGAAAAGTATGTATGCCAGCGTAGGTATCGTCATGTTGGGAGCGGAGTTTTATAAATGCTTCTATTAGTAACAAGAAAAGAGTTGCAGCTAAGATACGTGTAATGTAAACACGGCCAATAAGAGGCGGACGATGTCTGCGGTGATGTCAGTCGTCAGGATCGTGACGATATCTTCCACTCTAATTTTAGGATAAACACTGTCTACTGAACACGAACGAAGAACTGGCTGTGTTATATTACGAAAAGTTAGTATCTACTCCAAACACTCCTGGTCAATACAAGATCACAGAGATGGAACAAAGCTTTTGCAGATGATGATCATTTCTTAGAGGGCTGTATTGTTTCTGTCGACTTGTTACCCGTGTGTCGACCGATTTCCTTTGATATAGGATCTGCTGTACAAATACGGTATCTAGGTGTATTTCTGGTGTATGGACAGCAGCTGATAATTTCTTCGGTGTTGGTCCTGCTCGTGATACTGAGAAGAGCGATGTTTTGTGGTAGTCTGCGCTGTGGATTCGGCATGAAGCAGACAAGCCATGGATCGGAACTCATTATCCGAGAAGATCTCCAGATGCGGTCGCGATGCTGAATTATCGTTTCGAACGACGGATGCAAGATCCACACAATCGCTATCTCCTAGATGTCGAACGCTCATGCCCCGCCGCAGCTTTTCCTCATCTTGCAACCTCATTGCGCTTTCTCGTCTCACCCTCTCCCCGCAGCCTCCAACAACCCCGACACAGTCGTAACCCTATACCCCTTCCTCTTCAACACCGGCAACACCTTCCTCAACATCGGCGCCGTCCACCCCCTGCGATCATGACAGATAATGATACTGCCCTCCCTCACCATACTAAGCACATGCCTCGCGTTAACCCCCGGATAAGCAATCTGCGGATCATGAGGATACACACTACCCAGCACCATCTGGTACCCCATCTCCTTAATCTGCGCCCTCATCCTCGTGCTGAAGAAACCCGAGCCAGGTCGGAAGTACCGTGGCGGATGCGGTTTCCCCACTGCGTCGTAAGTGCCGTTGATGTAGCCTTCTACTTGGGTTACTTCTGCGGTGAGGGTTTCAGAGCTGAGGGAACGAGATGGCTCGTCGTGCATGGCGTGGTTTCCTAGTTCCATGCCGCTTTTCACGAGAGCCTCGAGTGCTTCCTGTCTTCCTGGGACTTGGCCTCCAATAACAAAGAACGTTGCGTGCGCATCGTATTCCTCTAGTACCTGCAGAATCTCTTTCGTGTACTCCGACGGCGCATCGTCAATCGTCAAAGCAATAACTTTCTCTCCTCCCGTTGTTTTTGCTAAAGGCACGTGCCAAAGCACATCCGGCCACCTCCGTTGGAAATAGCGTATCAACGCATTCGGCGGCTTGTAGATGACGTAAAAAGGTAGCACAAAAGCCACTACGACAAACACGAGGAAGAACATGGTGTACATGCGTCGACGGCGCTTCGCTCGCGTTGTCGGAAGGCGGAAGAGGCGCAGCGGAAGGCGGGGCATGGTATGCCGGTGTGCAATGGGATTTCAGGATCGCGATCTTTCATCGTAGGGAATGCGGCGCGAGATTGGAGGAAGTCATGTGGGGTAGGTATTTAGGGTGTGTGTTGAGGATGCGCGTTGGTGGTTGCGTTGCGTGGGTGAGGCTTGCTCGTGTTGGTGGTGGATCAAAGGGGTTAGGGGCACATGCAGGGTTGTTCCATCGGGTTTAGCGCAGACACGTGCAGGCGTGGTTTTGAAGAAAATCGCGGTCCGCGAATTTTTCTCTCTCCTCTACAGCTACGCTCGCGCACGATGCGCAGTTTCTTCGGCAGCACGTCGCACAGGATTGACGCGTGTACGTCGTGTATGCTGGGCATGGCGCGCATCATTGCCTACAACTAGGTGCTTATGTCGTTTCCAGAGTTTGAAACGACTGAGGTCCACCAGGATATACGCGCCCGCGAACCTCACCCGTACTCGTCCGTACTTCACGATATTCAACTTTGTAGAATCAGGGACCAATTTGTCACGCTTGCTCGAACAGCTACAACTTCGATACAAGCCCTCTAAGAATGTTCCAAGAACGACCCCGTGAGCGTTTAATTGACCTGGCTGCCTTACTATGTGGCTACTCGGGTCTCATTGCGTTCATACATTCTTTGTTAAACCACGTTGCCTTGCCTTGTTTTACGAGGATGCTGTG